ACTATGGCTTTCTTTCAACTGTTGGAGACTTTATTCTTGTTTATTTTTTCTCCTCCAACCACTGCTGTAGTCTTTCTTCTTGTTTATTTTCTTTCTCCTCCAACCACTGCTGTAATCTCTCTTCCTGTTTCTTTTCTTTTTCTTCCAACAACTGTTGTAATATCTCTTCCTGTTTCTTTTCTTTTCCTCCAACAACTACTCTAATCTCACTTCTTGTTTCTTTTCTTTTTCCTCCAACAGCTGCTGTAATCTCTCTTTTTGTTTATTTTCTCGTTCTTCTTGTTTCTTTTGCTGTTCTTGTATTGCTGCCATCAAATCTGCTAAGCTGTAGTTTGATTTGCCACTTCTCGTTTTCATTTTTTTTCTTTTCCGTTCCACTCTCTGACACCAATTTGTTACGTCTCTGGTCGTTTGTTAATTTCCCATACAATTTCTTTCGGATGAAACTTTAGTGATACAAGTCCTTTCTTAAATAAAACTAGTTTGTTCTTTCTCAATACAACTTTGCAATACACTTAATATCCACAGTCATTTAACTTAAACACACCCTATAATTTACAACGATTTACGCATTTTACTTACGACTTGATTCGATTATCTGTCTCTATATCTCTCTGTCTGCAATTAAATTATCGCTGTCACTTTATTCGTCGGCTTATATACTATAAAAGCGCGCATCTAGCAAATGCTAGGACGTTCGACATGTTCCTCGATCTTTCTAGAACTCCAGCGCATGCTCCCAGAGTCACGCGACTTCCGCTGTCGTAAACTATGTTACTGTTACGTATCTGCTTGTTTGTTAATCACTTTAGTTCCTGTACACACAATCCTCTTGGTGTTGTCACTGACTATCTCCAGATCAGGGAACGATAATCACTTTAGTTCCTGTACACTCAATCCTCTTGGTGTTGTCACTAACTAGCTTCAGATCAGAGAACGATAATCACTTTAGTTCCTGTACACACAATCCTCTTGGTGTTGTCACTGACTATCTCCAGATCAGGGAACGATAATCACTTTAGTTCCTGTTCACTCAATCCTCTTGGTGTTGTCACTGACTATCTCCAGATCAGGGAACGATAATCACTTTAGTTCCTGTTCACTCAATCCTCTTGGTGTTGTCACTGACTATCTCCAGATGAGGGAACGATAATCACTTTAGTTCCTGTTCACTCAATCCTCTTGGTGTTGTCACTGACTATCTGTCTACGTGACAGGAAAGCTGGATGGCCAAAGGTGCAACTTTGTCATAGATTCTGCATCTCAGCAAACCCTTGTGAGTATCAAGGTGCTAGATCACAAAGAAGTACCAGAAGCCATACAGAAGCTCTGTGGTGTGACAGGATATTATGCAAGGTTGTGGAGACCAGTGTGGGTAACTATTGAGCTCATTGGCATAAAGAACAGACACAAAGTATACTTTGCTGACATTGAAGACCCATGCATATTAGGGTTGAACTACTTACTACCGAGGAAGTGTGTAGTTAACTTTGATAAAATGACGTTTGGGAACAACAAAGGCCAAATTCCGGTAAGTGTTAAAAGAGAAGTTGGACTAAACGTGTGCCATCTAGCTGAAGTCAAAGTGACTGAAGGAGTTGATGATGGTGAAGTGGAACCAAGTATAGATATTAAAGTAGAACAGGAGAAAGACCAAAATTTGAAGCCAATAATTGATTTTCTTCAAGCAAGTGTTCTGCACCCTGCTTGGGAGAAGTTGTCTAGCCTAAGCCCTGTGACAAAGAACTATTGGGCACAATGGGACCAGTTGAAGCTTGAAGATGGTATTATTCTCCGGAAATGGGAAAGTGACGACCTGGCAAACAGTTATACCGAGAGAGTTATGGGAAGTTGTGCTGCATCAATCCCATGATAGTTTAACAGGAGAACATATTGGAGTTAAGAAGACATTGAGTCCCCTATGGCAAAGATTTTACTGGATAGGTATGAAGCAAGATGTGGAAGAATGGTGCAAGACCTGCAGTACATGTTGTGCTAAAAGGGGACCCAAGCATGAGGGACGTGCTCCAATGAAGTTATATCAAGTTGGCACACCAATGCAAAGAGTAACCATTGCTGGTCCATTGCCCAAACTCGTGCTGTAAACAAGTACATTTGTGTGGTGATGGATTATTTCACCACGTGGCCTGAGGCATATGCAATACCAAATCAGGAAGCTTCAACTGTAGCTTCGGGTATTAGTGATTTCTTCTTCAGATTTGGTATGCCATATGAACTGCATTCTGATCAAGGCCGTAACTTTGAATCAGCTGTGTTCCATGAATGCTGCAAGTTGTTTGAAATACGAAAGACCAGGACAATGCCACTTCGCCCACAGTCCGATGGGATGGTAGAAAAGTACAATTGGACACTGGGACAGGAATTGGCAAAGTTTTGAAATAGCCGCCAAGATGACTGGGATATCTTACTCCCTCCACTGTTGATGGCCTATAGAACAGCAGAGCATGAAGCCACTGGATACACTCCAGAAAAGCTGATGTTTGTTAAGGAACTTTGGTTGCCAGTGGACCTGATAACAGGACGCCCACCTTACAAAGAGTTGCCTGAAAATGTGCCAGAGTTTGTGAAAGTGGTATCTGAAAGGATGGATTATATTCACCATCAAGTGCATTCAAACTTAAAAACGTTTGCTGATTCCATGAAGCTATGTTATGATAAGAGATCTACTGAAGTCAGCTTTGTACCAGGAGATACGGTGAGGTTATATAATCCCAGGAAGACCAAAGGGAAGTCTCCTAAGTTGTCTTTTCCATGGGAAGGCCCATATGACATAGTGGATCATCTCTCAGATGTGACTTTCTGAATAAAATGTGGTCGGCGAGGTAAGCCGAAGGTGGTGCATGCCAACAGGCTTTGGTGTTATCATGGTCCAGGTAATTTCAGTTGGAACGAAGTGAACAACGGAACAAATGATGCTGCTGAAGATGTGTCACCTGAAAAAGCCACTGTTGAAGAAGAAACTTTACCTGGTTTTGACAAGGAAAACAGTGAAGCCATTTATGAAGGTACT